TCCAAAGCCCTGCCTATAGCACCAGCCTTGTGAATAGAAGTGAATAAAAAAGGAGACACCTGGAAAATAGGGCTATCCAATCACTCTTATTTTACTTAGATTATTTTCAGCACCCATGGCACCACAGCCTGTCTTATGACACAGAACTGAGAAAAAATCAAATGTCTGGAGCACTTTTATGTATGTATGAAGCACCTATGTTTTTATGAATGATGAAGCAAGCTTTTTCTCTGAAGTCTAGAAGAGACCATTTGGGAACTGAAGGAAAGAAATAATGGAGATCTCCGAAACCATAAGTGGCACGGAGAGTGTGGTAACAACTGACCATTATTCATCCTTTTTTATACAAAACCAAGGTTCTACCATATGAAGCTCGTACAAATCAGGCTCAAAACAAATAAAAGAAAGTGGCAGTCCACACAGGGGGCAGGGTGAAGATTTGTGCAATACCTTGACAAATGAGGATTTGTATGCAAAAGCTTCACAGCATTTACTGGGAGACTGTACAGGTTCTTGGAAATGAGATCTACTGAGGATTACTCAACAGACAAAAGAAACCCAGACAAAAACAGACTCCGAATACCAACCTCAGGAACTCCCTGAGCAGAAAATAGTTAGAACCTGGATTGGTTATGACAGGTAAAACTACCTGCCTCTCCTATCCTTACTCTTCCCTAAGCATCTGCTTATGCCCACTGCTGAAGCCAGAACTCTGGACTAGTACAGTCATTCTTACAATTACTTGCTATTCATGCCCCTGACTAAATTTTAAATGCTGTTTGTGAAAGTCATACATTTTTTTACAAGCACAAAACACTGCATATATATTTAAATAAGACTAGCAGTTTAATGGTCAGATCTTACTATAGGGAAGGTGCTTGTGCAATTCTAGAAACAATCTTATGAAAAGCTAGTCTCATATTCATTAAAAGGCAGGAATAACATAGTGAGTACACAGCACCCAGGTCTAATATACTCTTTCATGATCAATTCTTAGAAATATTTTTATTAATAAAAATGTAACTTGAAATTGCACTTCAATTTTATTAAGTCATAATATCAACAATAAATTTTGACCGAAATATCAGACTTGCCCAATTCTTTTTCCCCTGGAAAAATACCATGGGATCACATTTATACTTTCATAGCACTACCTGGAAGATTTGCAATATACACCCCATGCAGAAATGGAAAAGGTATAAAAAAGGTTTTTGAGCTTGCTTTTTTTTCAGGGGAAAGGAGAGCAGGTTGGAAGTGGACATGGAAAAGGAAAGCTGGAGAGATGGTGTAACTTCTTTTGTTCTGGCTTAGTATCCTGCACCTTAACCAAATTGGTTCAGGATTTAACTCCCCTGTTCAACGAACCACACAGTTTTATTTTAAGTGGTGTTTTAATAATGGTTTTCTTGAACCAACCAAAACGAAAATCACATACCGTTGAAACTTTAGATATTTCAGCCCGAATATGTATGAGATCCTCTTGCAAAAGTCTCTGCTGGTAAGAAATCTTTTCTGCATGTTGTGGTTGGTCTTTGTACTGTTCCATCTGCCTGTGTAAAACCTCCAAAACAGACTCCAGCTGATCCTAATAAAGAAGATGGCAGTAAGCTTGAAATAGTTACATGTAATTTTATGGATCTACCTGCGAGAAAATAGAAGTTGTTGTTCACCTTCCCAGTCCTTCCTATGAGCCACTAGAGACTGGGATTGGCCTCCTGCTGTGCAGACTAAGATACAAACGAAAAAGTGCAAGAGCCTTAATTAGCTATTACAACCAAAATTATCCGATATTTTCAATTAAATCTTTCCATTAAGTAGCCAAAACTGCAGAAACACAAAGCAGTGAGAGGGGAATTTTGCTACTTACAAAACTGTAATTTGCAGTTGCAGAAAAATTCCAACTGACAGTCCTACCCCAGCACAGCATTAGCTGTTTATGTAAGGGTAGGTTCTCATTCATTGCTACAGTTAAATTAGCCATGGGAGGGACTGAAATAGTCTAAAACACTAAGTAGGCCCGATTCATTCAGTCAGGAGTCAACACCACCGAATCATTTTGCACAGTCCCTCTTCTGAAGGATCTACCTGGACAATACTTTCATTTCAGAATGGATTTTTTTCTGAACCACCTTGACAGCTATAACTAATAGGCAGTGAAGCAGATAAAGAAACATTCAGTCAAGGAAAGAGAAACCATTTTGTTACTGTTTACTATTTGAAATCTGACTTGAATGGGCACAGAGAAAAGGAGGCAGATTCCAACTACAAACTTGTCACAGAAGATACTCCAGTATTTCAGTCATAACCCTCAGAAATAAGTAGACAGCACTACATATAAACCAGGACAGGTTTCTTAAGTTACTACAAATTTGAATCTTTCTCCCTTCTCTCACTTCTTCTTCTGAAAAAAACCCAAATAAACAAAAAAAACCAAAAACCCACAAGAAACAAAAAAACCCACAAACTGCAAAAAGAAAGCAAACCAACAAACCACCACACAAGTTACAGTGAGCGTTCAATATAGTGGCATGCTGCTATTTATGCAAACACTGTTTATGCAGATGGGAAAAGCTGCAAAGGACACATGACACTGCCTCCAACCATACACGTATCGAGACAAAGCTAAACTACACAGAAAATTTGGAATAAATGCCATAAAATTAAGTATATGTGGCTTTAAAATGCTTATATTCAAATACTAGCATAAACCCAATACTTTTTCTTTATACACGTATCCAAAGAAAAGTGCTACAATGCAAGCAGCATCCAGTAATATGCCTTTTCCTTTGTAATTCCATATTTTATGATCAGATGAAAGTTGCTATTTTATTTTATAAAACTTTTTTTAATCTACTCACTTTATTTTCCTTAAGGGCTCTTATTTTGTCCTCCAAGTCCTGCAGAATTCTGTCCTGCTCACAGAAAATGCTTAGCTTGACCTGAAAATGAAATCATATAAATCCATAATGCTGGATTTCAAAAACCAAGCAGGAAAGTCTCCCCTTGCAATATTTTACCCCAAAGGGCATAATAATGTGAACACATAACAGTACAACATAAATATCCAGAACAATGCAAGAGGTTGGTACTTACATCAGTGTCACTTTCTGCAATCTTGACAGGTTTAGTACCTCGTTCTTTTAACGTGTCATGTCCTGTCACCTAAACGGAACACGGTGAAAAACCTGAGAAACCTGCTGCAAACTAAAACCTCAATACGCTTCAACAATGAGAAGTTTTGTTAAATATTCATAGTTATTAACAAAGATGAATAAAAAGTTGGATACAAGTATTTTCAAATATGGTTTTAGTCTGTAAAAACGTTATCAGAAAGGATTACTATATTAGGCTATTTAATAACTCTTACAGTAGCTTAAAACTCTGTACAAAACCACATAATCCCATTTGTCTCTGTTTACAAAGGTCCTGCTCCTGCAAAACCTAATAGTTTTAACAGTTTGGCTTTAATAGCTGACTTGAAGGCAAAGGACTTAAACAGTTCCTTTAAATGCGTGGTTGCATTAATTACAGACTAAAAATAAAACTTTCTGGCAACTACTTCACTCTACAAATGAGTCTCTTCCATAGCACAGGATTAATTTTATTAAAGACTATTGCTATAGTGAAATTAAATGTAATTAATCTATTTTGACATAGTTATAATATACCAAATCTCTCATTCCATATATCACTGGTTTCATATTCAATTTCTGGTGAGAAGATTATCTTCTCACATAATGCAGTTTTTAAGTCAGTACAAAATCTATACCATATTATACTTCCAACCTTCACAGCAATCTGAAAACGAAGGCACGTCTATCTCTGTGGAAATGTTTATTTCTACTATCTACATGGGACCTTTTTTGTAAATATATTAGTTAAAGAGAATGGCAGTATAATACAGCCCACTAATCATACAGTTTTAAAAAGCCTTAAAATGTAATGACCCAACATTACTAGGTTAGAACACTTCTAAAGATCCACTAAAGCAAATACAGTCTTACCAAAGAAATGCCTGGTGTTCAGTGTATGTATATACATACAGTATATTTCTATTTGTACAAAGGCAAGAGTTTATGAAGAAAAAAATCACCTAAATACTGTGTTTAATAATATAAGAGCAGAAGTTTTAATATAGAAGCAGAAGTTGTTGCCTTTTTTTGGTGCGGTAGAAGGAGCAGTTTTCACTTTTACTGATTGACAATTGTCAGATCTGAAGCTACATGGTTTACTTATTCACCTAACAGGCACCTATAGGATCATGTTGACCTTCTTAAAGCAATTAAATTTTACTGTAAGTGTAGATAAATCTTTGATGTAACCTCAGGTTACATGAAGTTAGCCATCTACACACAGTATTTTCAAATACCAAAGTAGGTTTAAAACAGAAGGGCAAGGTCATCATTTATGTTTACTGTCTTTTCTCCTCCAATGGCAGACTCCATTCAAAGACTTATCATGTTGTTGTGTGGTGAAATGTTACTTCTCCACCATGAAAATCAAAAGCATTTACTACCTCTCAAAACTTTCAATTCTTGGATATTTTTATTTTCAACAATGATGTGTTTTAGATCAGAAAAAGCCCTTTCTTTAAAAAGTTATTCATTATTTAAATGCTAAATTCTATGTATAAAAGTAACAAATAATTAAATACGTGTAAATACTAGCATGTCCAAATAATAATTTTGCATATTTAATTACCTGCAAGCTAAGAGAATGCGAAAGCCTTTTTCAAAGCAAGGAAATTAACATAAAAACCAGAGTCTACAGATCTGGGGATATTTTATATTACATAATTAGAACTGTAAATAATTTGTTAATTATTAAGCAGTGAACATGAGAACATAATTGAGACTCGGCATGCTTTCACATCTTCAAAATTACACATGGGAGTCACTACTTGACGCAATCATTCTCAAAACACAAAGAAATGAAACCAGACACTGAGGTCAGCCACAATTTTACAAACAAGACTCCAAAAGGAGGGGGTGAGAGGGGAGAAAAAAATAAACAACCAAGTAAAGATAAAAGAAAATCTCACAGAAAGCTTTATTGTTTACCGTAAGACATCTGTAAAAGCCAGACTATGTAAACATTGACTGCTATTTTATAAAGCAATGGGATGGGCACATTTCAGATGCAAGCAGTCTTACATGTATACTGGATAGTAACCCTTGTGCTGAGTTCTTTAGCACTTTGTATATCATGTTGATCAGAGGTCCATTATTTTCTATCTGTTTCAAACAAAAGTTTAGTAATAGCTTGTTACAGATGTAGAAATTAAGACCCCCAAACCTTACAACTTGAAACTCCACGAGCAACAGTAATCATGCTCTTATGTCACACCAGTCCTTGATGTTTACAGTCTGTATCATCTGCCATCACGGAAGTCATAACTGGGTATCTACCTATCTTGTTATATTGTGGGTAGATTGCTCATCAACCATAAGACTTTTTTACTTTTGCAAAACACACATACAATCACACAATACAAAACAAGATTTGCTCGGGCTTGCCCAATTGCAGTTTCAAGAGTGCTGGGAATTACACCAAGGTATTTTCTGTAATGTAATATGCAGTAACGCTTGCACCAAGAGCTCTACATTGATAATCTAGTTAAAACTTCATTGAAAAAAGCTATTTCAATCACATTTACACTTCCCCTCATAACAAACACCTGCCATGCATTATTTCCTTTACTATGTGAAACATAGCAACCTCCTTCAACTGCAAGAGAAACGAAGCAGCTTCAGACACTACAGTGTGAGTGCAGACAATCAAAGCAGAGGACTACTGCCAAACCACTGAAAAGGCCCCAGATTTGCTTCAACTGGTTGCACAATTTATACTTAGTGACACAAACTTTCCTATACTTCTTCACTCATATTTTGTATCATCTGCTTGGAAACGTTTATAAACTATTCAGAAGTGAGGCTGCCCATCCATCCCTCCTACAGCCTGCTTGAACATTCACAAAAAGGGAAGGTTCCTTCACCACTTGTGTTTTGTCTTATGTGCAAAGCCATCTTGGAAGCTTGTGGGTAAAATTGAGTTTTTCTTTCTTTTGCTCTTTTTCTCTGCTTTTCTACTACGGGGTCCCTTCACAACTGTGAAAATCTGTTTGCAGAAGAGGCATGGTTATGCTGTAGCATACAGAGAGACCATTTCTTTCATGCTCCACATACCTCTAGTTCAGAAGTGAAAAAAGAATACACAGTCAGTGCAACAATTTTCTGGGGGAAAAAAGTTCTTTATTTAAGGGCAATATTGTCAAAGGAAACCTCCACAATGTGTGGTATTTGGCAAGTTCAAAACCATCAATAATTGCTTGTCATAGTGTTAGTAAACAGCCATTAGACTATTTTTTTTTAATGTCAGGACTAGCTTGCATGCAGGAGAAAACTACTGAAGTGGATTTATATCTCTAGAGCATTTTTGTTTAATTTATATTTATAACACAATAATTTATTCCCCTCGTCCACCAAGCAGGTCACCTCTTCATAAGAGGAGATAAGATCAGTCAGGCAGGACCTGCCCTTCCTGAACCCCTGCTGACTGGGCCTGATCGCTTGGTTGTCCTGCATGTGCCGTGTGATGCACTCAGGATGATTTGTTCCATCACCTTCCCTGGCACCGAGGTCAGACTGACAGCTCTGTAGTTCCCCGGGTCTTCCTTCCAGCCCTTCTTGTAGATGGGCGTCACATTTGCGAGTCTCCAGTCGACTGGGACCTCCCCAGTCAGCCAGGACTGCTGATAAATGATGGAAAGTGGCTTTGCAAGCACTTCTGCCAGCTCCCTCAGGACCCTGGGGTGGATCCCATCTGGCCCCATAGACTTGTGTATGTCTGAGTGGTGCAGCACTCAAGAAGATTTAAAGGGAAAATGTTGGGTTAAAAGAACTTAGAGGAGTTGACCTCATATTGGTTCTAACGCTACAGAAGATTAACATTTGGAATCAGTTTTTATCTCATTTCAATAAAGCCACATAGTATCATTCATCTGGAGTACCAGTAACGCAAGTTCTTCCTACAAACTGAAGCACCTACATTTTCTGAGTTTGCATTTTAATTGTATAGTCACTACTATAAGGTATTCAGTATTCTAAGCACAGCAGTGATGGCAAAAGACAGTTTCCATCTCTGAAGAGAAGGTGATTTGAAAACCTGCAGGTACAAAGATGATACACAAATGACCATGGAGTTATAAAAAAATCATTGAAGAAAATCTTACCTTTAGGTCCAAATACTCTAAATCCTTTTTCAACTGGATATAAGTGTCATCCGCCTTCAGGTAAGTACATGTGGAGGGAAAAAAGCAATGTATTTGCATGTTGGAAACAATTTCAAAATATTTGGGTTGGTTATAGATAAGAAAATGGATGAAAGAGGAAACAAAATAACAGAGTAGGAAGTACACAAAAAAGCACATTTGCTCCACCAGCATATTGCTATTTACAGCTGAAAAATGGGCAAAACATTTCCCAAGAGTATTACTACCTCACGCCCACCCTCCAAACACAGATAAGAGTTTTCCACCTCTAATGAGACAGTCTAGTGGGGGGTGTTCCTACCAATGGCAGGGGGGTTGGAACTAGGGGATCTTTAAGGTCCCGTCCCACTCTCACCATTCTATGATTCAAGGCAACTATCTGAAACAACAGATTTTCAAAAGTTACTTTTTCAAGACCAATTTCTACTGACTGTCCCTTCGCTGGAAAAGTTATGGTGTTGCTCTCCAGCACAAGTGTCCCTTTGGCAGAAGGAGACATGTACCTAACTGAATGTCAGATGTAACTAGGAGCCATTACATCACAAATCATTAGGATGCTCTTGGTCACATTTCATGCACATTTTAAGATAAGAATTCCTTTATTCAGGAAAAGTATGAAATCAGTTTTGTGAATAAAATACTGAAAAATATCTCACTTATATGATTAGAAAATCCATTTTGCCATTTATGTAATAGCAATCAACTTGATCTTTATTATTCAGTGGCTCATCCGTAATTGTTATCAGCTTGATTTTATAGTTACATTCACCTAGCAACATCTTCATTAAGGTTGCTTCAAAAAAAGCATGCACAGAAGTCATAACAAAGCTATTTATCTTTTTTCTTCAAAAGAGGCATTTGCAACACGCAACAAAATAAAGCTTTAAACTGTTGCAAAAGTGCTTTGTAATCAGCCAAAATGCCCTCAAATTACTAGAATTTTTACTGCTGTTTTGATACGATTTTGTATCCTCGGTGCATTAAACTTCAGAATAAAGGAAAAAAACCAACTGTAACTTCTCTCAAGTTTTGAGCCAGTGACAATGTGTAGTTAAAAAGGAAAAGAAAGACTCTTTATGCCATAAAATCAACAGATCACATTTCTTTAGAGGTGTTCAACTACGATTCTTGTCTGATCAGCCTGTAAGTCCGGCTGAGAACTCGACTAGAAAGTCTGCCCATTTTTGGAGAAATCCCTGTTACTATAGCTCATCTTAGTGCAACTGTTCTGTAGGTGAGGTAAATTGGGAAATGAAACTTTTGCAAATTCAAAAACATTCTTTGCAATTTGGGCCAATATAAAGCCTTCACTAATCCCAAGAAGAGTCACCACATTTGGCTCCCAGATGGCTCCTTTTTTGAGGCTCTGATATGAGCCAAAGAGCTCTGTAAGTACATTTATCTCTGAGCTCACGTTTACAAGTTTAATACATCAGTGCAATTAACAGCACTGCTGATGATCCAAGATGCCCACTGAGCTTTTATGAACCAATGTTCACCTGCAGAACTGACACAGTTACAAGCTCATATGAACGTACAAAGTAGCTGATGCATTTCAATTTGCAGGTGACGCAGCATGTGGCACAGGGAGCCAACACCATCATGAAAGCAGCACAAAGAAATGGGTTTGCTTTAGAATGAACTTATCTCATGTTTTAACCCACATTTCTGAAGATGCAGCATTTTCAGAAATTGTATAAAAAGGAAGAACATGTAACACTTTGAAACATAGGCGCTGGTGCCTTCTAACTCAAAATGCTCATCTTTGATAGCAAATACAGTAGCAAAGAAAAACTGCAAATTACCTGGGATTGTAGAATACCAAAGAATAGGCAAGAAAGCACAGACTCAAGCATGCCACTAACGAAGCATTTGCAGAGTCACAAAATGTCATATGGCACAGATGAGCCAAGTAGCAGCTGACCTGATAGGTGGAATTAGTTGGCAAGTGCTGCAATAACTGTGCGATTGTATAATTTCGTATACTAGCCAACTTAGCCTGATGTCTCCTTAATCGAATGAGAAGCAATGTTAGCTCTTCAGGCTGCAGGTATTTAGACACATTGTAAAGAGGAAATTAGCAGTCTTCAGGGAGAGTAACTATAATTACATTTCTCACCTCAGTGCCCAGAAAGCAGTTATTTAACATGAGTAAGCAATTATTTCATTAAATCTGCATTTGGTCAAATAAACATAATAAAAGTTGAATCTTTTAATAACAGACAGCTCACCCTTGTTCATGTTGAGATAACAGCAAAATTCCTACAGGCTTTACTGGGAGCTGGTAAATACTAAGTTCTCATTCAAGTTGTTTATGTTTTAAGTAATAAAAATACAACTACTATAGAATGAGCAGGGTTTTTTTTTCAACCTGACTACAATACTACGGTGACACAAAAAGGTGACAACTGCTCTCTCAACTTACCGACTTGCCATGCAAACTGGGGGCGCTCACAGTATGAGTCATGTAGCCCATGGCAGGCATAGAGCGTCGATCGATATGAGTTGAGCTCTGTAAGAAGCCACAGCCAGAACTGTAAGGATTGTCTCAAGTGAGAGGTATGTTGTACTTCAGAGAAAATTTAGAAGATATGCACCTCTGTCACAGATTTTCTGTTTGAATTAACGGCATGCTTAGATCAAGGTAACACTCATTGGAAAGCCAGATCTGTTGATGATTAAGTAAAAGTTATGAATGAAAACAAACACAAATTTAGCACCTATGGTGCTGGGCAGATCAGTGAATTCTGGCAGCACAAGGTGCTTCAGCAGAACATGCAAGTGGGTTCCCTCCCACCTAATGTCTCCCAGAGCAAGGCTGGCTGGCTTGCACGCCATACAGTGACAACTGTGAATGCCTTCTTTTGGCTACGAAACACTAAGCTACTGATGTGAGCCACACCTTGTGGCAATGGGTTCCATTAATACCAGGTTTTATTAAATAATCTTATTTGATCTGCCAGCTGAAAGACTAACTACACTAGCAAAACACGTTGAGACGGCAGACGTGGCAAACAGGGAAGTCTGTATGCGTAAATAAATAAACAAGGAAGAGTTTGTCCTGCCAAGTTTTACATTCCTGCCTACCTACTCTATCCATTAAAATACAACTTGTATATTTTATACATATAAACATATGCCTCTCAGTTTTTGAAGAAAAAGATTCCAAACAAATATGATGTACCACCAATTCTCCTTTCCAAATCAACAAAAACAAACAGATATGAAATGATGACAAAGATGAGTTTTAGGAGAAAATTACTAATTGTATTAAATTTTATAACTTGCACAATCTTTCATGCACAAGTATGGATGCAATGAAAATTATTTAATTAAATTATCACTGTATGACACTACACATAGAATACTTTGGAAATAGTTGTACTGTATACAAACCTTTACAGCATGATTTCGTATCTTCTTGGGTGATCCAGCAAAAGGAACATCTACTGTCTGTCTCTCATCAGAAGGTTTAACTGTAAGCCTTTCTGCAGGAGTATGTGGTCTTCTTGGGGGAAAGCCTTTTGGAGGTCCAGGTGGAGGAATATCAGATGGAGACGGTGGAACAGATATTGATCGTGGAACATCTAAGGAGCTTTTTGACTTGCCACAATCAATAAAGTCTGAAGAACCTACATAAAGTGGGGCAGTGGGGCTGCCATGTTTAAATTGCTGTCTCTGCTGCCACTCATACAGCTGCCAAACAGTTCCGTTCTTATTTGCTTTTCTTTCCTCCTGGGACATCTTCAAGTGGCTAACGCGATCTTGTGCATACTTGTAGTCACTTGGCAAATTGCGGTTTAGTGGTGGTGAGCTCCCTGAAGGCTGCCTGGTATTCTTTGGTAAAGTGTGATAGTTTTCAGGAAAAGGTGGATTGAGACCCTGATGTGTAAGAGTCTGATCAGAAGTGAAGCTGTGAAGGAGGGGGGGAAAAAAAAGGTAAATTTTAGCATACATTGATGAGTAGTATTGACTGATGATAAAAAAACCCAGCACTCTAATGACATTAGCAAAGGAGCTACAAGACACAACATACAACAGAAATTTTAAAAGAATTTACAGAGATATTAATGAAGTAATAGTAATGAAATCTACCCTGCACAAAAACATTACACTGTAGTCGTGCCAAGATGCAAACAGTGTAAATACAGGCTCTTAATTTAGTGTCTAACCTAGAATGATCTACTCGAACTAAACGTAAGGCACTGCTGCATTATGGACTTAGACCAAAAAGAAAGTCAAGAACATGAACAAAGGAATTGTTGTTATGTTTAAAAAGCAAATCTGTGAAAATATTTTTCACAGAAAGCCTGCTCACCATGAGGTGGTGCAGTTTATGAACAATAAATGCATTGTCATTATAAAATATTACCTGAAAGTGCAAGAAGAAATCTCATCAATCACAGAATAAGTATCTCAGACAATTTTTGTTCATGTGAATGAAGCAAAAAAAAAAAAAAAAAAAAAAAAGAAAAAGTAAGAAATTGCTCTAAGTCCTCAGGTCTTGATAATTTACTTTCATCTGACCTAATGCTACTGCTTCTACTGTTTTAAGCAACACAAGGCTTTTTGTGACAAAACTCACTGACAAACCAGAACATGAAAAGAGACATTACACTATGACTTTAATACTGCATCCATAATACACTTAAACTGTAGAAATTAAACCTTTTAGTAGATAGAGAGTTAAGACAGAATTGGCAAAAGCTTTGACAAGGTGTAGTTAATTCCCTCTCCTACTCTGAAGTCAAAAGCATAAGAACCTGCTTGTCTAATCCCTGATTCATCAGTTAAACATCTGGGGGTTTTGTACTTGCAGCCATTTGCCCATTGATTCAGGATCTCTAAACAGGAACCCATTCTGTTAGACTTGTCACAGAGCAAATGTACAAAAAAAAACCCCAACAAAAAACCAAACCCACAAATTAAGAAACTCAGAGCACATTCATCACTCGACAGGTTCCACTCCTCGCATGTGAAGGAGACCTGCTGGTGTAAAAACTGCAGGAATTCCACATGAAAGGAAGGACACGATGGAAAGGAACATCTCTCTTCAGCATTCAAGAGTAACAGAAGCAACGGGAAGCACAGAAGTGCCTGAAGCAACAGAAGCACCACCAGTAAGTGGTGCTCAGTAGTTGCCTCCATCTATTTCTATTTGCAAGATTTGGCACTGTTGGGCTGCTCTTGAGAGGATCAGAAAGCAGAATAACTGCCATGCACTGCATGGAGGATGACAAATTCATAAAAGCTCTGCTCTCTCATATCACAGCACCCTCACCTTACCTGAAATTTCACAATAAACGTTAAAGCAGGCAGGTAGCATGAACAGCAGCAACTCAAAGATCAGCATTTAGTGGCCAAGTAACCTCTTTTATTTGTCTAGCTCTTTACATCATGTGTACTCTGTACGTTCTGTACTGCACTGTCAATTCTTCCCACATAAAAATCAAAGCAGTTGGTAAAAATGTGTTTTGTCTAGATAGGGACGAGAACCGAGAAGGTTTGGAGCATGTAATGCTTCAACAGGACATTTGAGACAGGCATGAAGCTAGTACTGATCTTTTTGTGACCCTATGAGTTGTGGGAGAGTGGGAAAGGGGGTGGAAATCACACGTCTCAAAAAGGACGTGTTTGTCTAAGAGGAACTGAAACCTGTTCAAATGAAAGCAGTACTTTGAGTACCTAGGAAGTGCCAGCTTCACACAATACATCAGCCTGGTAGAAAAAACAACAAAGGGAAAGTTATAGTCAAAGCTGAACTTCAGAGGCAACTACCTACCTACAGACAGGTTCCAGTTTCTCAGTATATGGAATAGGGAGAAACCTCCAGCTAAGATAACAGGCTGTGAGCAGGTGCCATTTCTGCCACACAAGGTGTCAGACCCTTAAAAATAATTATATAAAAACAGGCCCTAAGATGACATATCGATTTCTGTAACAGGGAAGGAACAATGTCCTGAGTGATTCTAATTGATCCGCAATGGAGTGAAAACTGAAGAAAAAAACAAAAGGCCCGATGCCATACTCTATGATTATTTGCCATTAATACCATCCCAGATCAGCAATGAGAAGCAACCACACAAAAGATACTGTACAAAGAGAAGACAAATGTTCACAAGTAAACAAATACAATAACTGGAAACTCTTATGGGATTCATGAGAGCACGTAGAAGCTAACTAAGACAGGTAATATGTCTTCCTTAAGCAAATCAGCAAGGAATGGAAAGTTCTACATAACAAGAAATACTCAACGCTGTATTTGCAAGGAAGGAAATTTCCTCAATATGACTGCATTTAGTTGGGAAATATTAAGCTTATATTTATCAGATTTATATATATTTTTAAAGTCTAAATAAACTGTTCGAAATACGAGAGTCTTTATAATTATGCATACACTATATCTATCCAGGCACTGGTATCAGATGAAAACCCAGTAGTTTCTGGACAGCTGCTGTTGGATGCTTCTGACCTTTAACTACTTTAAAGAAAAAAAATCTCCTGAAGGCCTCCTTTCAAACCTCCTACCAGTTCTCTAGATCTCTCTCCAAGGCTATCATGAACCTTATTAAACCAGGTATTCCCCTTTGCTGAGAACATAGGAGGGTTACATGACAACATTGGACACAACTGTAGTGAAGCTATCAGGTCACTGTCAGAGAAAGGAATCTCCACGTTGACAGCTAACATTCACTAGTTAGCAAACAGTTCTGAGTGCTTTATTAATAGGGAGAGTAAAATATCTATTTGAGAGAGCCAAATAGCTATATAAAAGGTGAAATCCCTGCAAATAATTATACAAATACCTGCTGAATGTGTGTGAAGACTCAAGAAAGAGTTCTTTCTTGTCATAATCAGCTTGCTGGCAAACATTGCAATTTTATACACCTGAGCCAGGAAACAAAACTGTACTCATCCTGTGTTCAAGCATTATAAAGGCTTCTAAATCCTCAGAGGTTCTTTACTTGTAACATTTCAGGTGGAATAGCAGTAAACACAGAACACTAGGAAATTGTGCTCATACAATTGTCCACTCATCCTTACTAAAATCAAAATGAAATATCAATTCAATTATCATCTCCACTTCAGGTTTCTACATCCCAAAATCAAGACACATGCTACTTTTATCCATCAGGTAAGTGCACTGCAACAACCTCAGCAGGTCGAGAAAAGGTGCCATTAAAATCAATCCATTAATCTTTGGAAAGGTGATGTACAATTTATTCAGAATGCAGACAGTATAATGACATTTGTCAAGAAAAGAAAAATAAAATACGGTTAAGTGAGCTAAAACAGAACATAAAGAAAGGTAAGGAGAAAATGTATATATATAGTTAGATTTTGGTTACATCACCATGGTTAACTCTTGTAGAGTTTCACTGACTACTCAACAGCTCCAGCTGAGGTAGCTGGGTTCATCTGGAAGCAATGCTGGCACCTGCAATAGCACTACCTCAACACTACACCTAATGCACACTAAAGTCGTTTTACTTGAAAGATTAATTAGGAAGTAAGCAGTACTTATTTAGCTATCAGTCAAGCCCATTCATTGCCTATACTTTTGATTTGAAAAACACCAACAGAAGTTTTCTTAAGCACTGGCTAATTAGTTCAATAGTTTTCTGTATTATTTTAGACTAATACATCTCTGCATGCAAGAAGAACTAACCGTACCGAGTATGTTTTTTACCTTAAAGTCATATTCTCATGGGAAACACTGACTGACACCTAAGCAAGAAAGATGCAAGTAAACTGACTCTAGCAGTCTAGAAATGCGTCCAATA